CTGTCCACTGGATTGGGGTCTCCATGGTGTATGGAGATGCCAAGCTATTCCCAGTAACCTACTCACCTCCCTCACTACTGTGGCTGTGAAATGTGGGCCCCTATCTGATGATATTCCTAGAGGCACCCCAAATCTTGGAATGATTTCTTGCAGTAACCACTTGACTGTCTCCTTTGCTTGATTTGTGTGACAGGGAAGAGCTTCTGGCCATCCTGAAAATGTGTCAACCCCTACCAATAGATATTTGTATCCTTGAGTTCTTGGTAATTCTACAAAATCTACTTGCCAATAATCTCCTGGTTCTACTCCTACCAGAATTTTCCCTAATTGTGCCTGTCATCTAGCCACTGGATTGTTCTTTAAGCAAATTTCACATTTTGACATTACTGATTTTGCCATTGTTAACATCCGTACTGAAATTAAATTTTGTTTTAACAATTTCACCAATGCCTCTGCACTCCAATGACATTTTTTATGTTTAATTTGTAGAACTTCTCTCATTATCAAGGGGGGTACCACTACTTGTCCCTGTGTAGTCACCTACCACCCTTCTGAATTCTTCGGTGCATTCTGTGAGCATCCCAATTTCTCATCCTCTATTGAATATTTTGGTTCTGGGGGTAAATTGAATTGAGATATATTAGTTTTTAATGGTATCAACGCCATTGCAGTTGGCACTTCTTGAGCAGCTTGTCGGGCTGTCCAGTCTGCTTTCCGATTTCCCTCATGAATTTTGGAGCTTCCTGATTGGTGAGCTTTACAGTGCATGATTGCTACTTGGTCAGGCTTTTGTACTGCTTTTATTAATTGCAGGACTGCATCTTGATGTTTAATGTGTGTGCCTTGAGAAGACAGCAGTCCTCTTTCTTTCCCCAGTGCCCCATGTACATGCACCACTCCAAAAGCATGTTTTGAATCATTCCAGATATTTACTTTCTTCCCTTCACTCATCTCTAATGCCCTGGTTAAAGCAACCAGTTCTGCTCATTGGGCAGATGTGTTTGCTGGTAAGGAACAAAGCTGGATTCAAAAGGTTTAGCTGTCTTTAATGTGACATCATCCTGTTCAGTTAGGATTACCTGGAATTTCATCATCCTGCTTGGAGATAGCCAGTGGCTCCCCTTTTGTTCTAAGACAGTGGTCACCATGTGTGGCACATAGACATCTATGTGTCTGCCCATCGTGAGTTTCCTTGCTTCTTGGATCAGCATCACAGTGGCTGCAGCTGCCCGCAGGCATGAAGGCCATCCGGCACTCACGTTGTCAAGTTGTTTGGAAAAGCAGCCTACCAGCCTTTTCCAGCTTCCCAAAGGTTGGGTCAGCACTCCCAGTGCTGGGTGTGATCTTTCATGCACAAACAGCTGAAAATCTTTGGATAGATCAGGCAGTCCTAACGCCGGAGCTGTTGTCAATGCCTCCTTCAGTTTGAGGAAGGCCTCCTTCTGTGGTCTGCCCCAGGTAAGCGGTTGTGTCTTCTGGGCTTCATACAGGGGTTTTGCAATTAGTCCATAGTCCGTGATCCACAGGCAGCACCGCTCTGTCATCCTGAGGAAAACTCGCAGCTCATGCAGGTTCTGGGGTTCTGGAATAGCACAAAGAGCTTGAATACGGTTAGTACCCAGCTTACATTGCCCTTGTGAGATTTCACATCCCAGGTAAATCACAGTCTGCCAGGCAATTTGTGCCTTTTCTTTAGACACCTTATATCCTCCCATTCCCAGCTGACTTAAAATTTCAATTGTTACCTTTATGCAGGTTGTTTTCTGTAGCTGTCAGTATATCATCAACATACTGTAACAGCAGGTATTGCTCCCTCAGAACTTGCCCGTTTTTGGCCCAAATCTCCAGCTCCTTCACCAGCTAGCTTCCAGATAGGGTTGGACTGTTCTTGTATCCTTGTGGGAGTCATGTCCAGGTGAGCTGGGTTTTCCTTCCATTGTCTGGATTTTCCCATTCAAAGGCAAACAGTTTCCTACTTTCTTTGTCAAGGGGTATGCAGAAAAAGGCATCTTTTAAATTAATTACAGTAAACCATTTCTATTTCTCTTTCACAGATGTCAACAATGTGCAAGGATTAGCTACCACTGGGTAAATATCTTTAGTTATTCCATTTATTGCTCTCAAATCCTGTACTAGTCTGTACTCACCATTTGGTTTCTTCACTGGAAATACTGGTGTATTCAATTCTGATTCACATTCTTCTAAAATTTGGTACTTCAAAAATTTATCAATAATCTTTACTATTCCTTGCCGTGCTTCTGTCTTTATGGGATACTGTTTAACCTGGACAGCTTTTGCTCCTTCTTTGTATTCTACATGTACTGGCTGTGCCAACTTAGATTTTCCTGGTATGTCTGTTTCCCATACAGAGGGAATTACTGCATCCTCTACTTCCCGAGGGATAGTAGGGACTGTTTTTTCTTTCATCATTAAGATCTGTCCTGTCTTTGATTCAGGTATTTTCATTAAAAGCTCCCCGTTTTCAAAAGTTATCACTGCATCAAGTTTTGCTAATAAATCTCATCCTCAAAGTGGAATTGGACACTCAGGCATATCTGAAAATTCATGTGTTAACACTTTGTTTCCAAAGCACAAATCCAGGGGTTGCAGGAATGGTTGATTTTCCTCCTTCCCTGTGGCTCCAGCTATTGTTGCTGTTTTGTCTCCAGTTTGCCCTTTTAGATCATTTAGCACAGAATATGTAGCCCCCGTATCCACCAGGAATTTTACTTCTTCATCTCCCAATTGTATAGGTACTAAAGGTTCTTGTGTTGGTTTTTGTTCCGATTCTAGTCAGCTGTTGTACTCCCCCAGCACCATTAATTTGGAAGCATCTTGATTCTGCTTGAACTGCTTGCCCTGGTTAAACCGATTTGGACATTCATTTTTCCAGTGCCCCTCTTGTCTACAAGAAGCACATTGATTTAACCACAATCTTGGCAAAACCCATCCCCCTCGTCCTCTGCCAAGTCCGCCCCTCCCCAGTCCACGACCACCTCTGCCGCATCCTCTGAAACCTGGATTCTCTCTTCCTTGGATCACTGCCAAAAGATTTTGCTGCTGCTTTTTACTAGCTTTCTTTTCCCTGTTATTGTATACTTTCCAAGCCACTTCAAGTAATTGATTCAAATTCCTTGAATCTTCTCCTTCTAACTTCTGCAATTTTCTCCTAATATCATCCTGCGACTGCCCAAGAAAAATGAACGCAAGCTGAACATTCGCTTGTTCTGTTTCTAGTTGAAGATCTGTAGACTTTCTTGCTGCCTCCTTAAGCCTTTCCAAAAATGCAGCAGGGGATTCTTTCTTTTCCTGTCTTACCTCATACAATTTAGACCAATTCATAGCCTTAGGTACAGCATTCCCAACCCCTGTCTGGAGCCACTCTTGATATCTCTTCAGCCTCCGCATGTCCCCAAAGGCATTGGGATCCCACCCTGGATCCTCGGTTGGAAAGTTCTCATCTAAAGTCGCCGTCAGCACCCCAGTTCTGAGATCTTCTCTCATCTTCTCCTTGGCTGCTCTAAGCACCATCTCTTTCTCAGTAGAGTCCATTTAATTATCCACTATTACTTGTATATCATCCCAAACTGGATCTGAGTTTTCATAATCATTTTTACCACTCCTGCTACTTTATCAGGATTTTCTCTCTTAAGTTCCAGCTGATTGTTTCCAAATTATCAAGTCTGTGGGTGGAAAAGGAACTTTCACAAACACCGGCCCTTCTACTCGTACTCCTTGTCTCAAGGGGGCAATCACAGTCCGCCTTTGTCTGCCCAAATCTTTTCCCGTTCTACCCAGAACCGGAGCAAGCTGTGACCGAGTCCGATGGGATACCGGTGTCGCTGATTTATTATCATCACCCCTGCTACTGCTGTCTTCCTCCCCAGCATTTTTCACATTTCCTTGTATCACGGTTAGATTTGGATCATCTCCTGGAGAAGAAGGATCAGGTGAAGGCGGTAGAGGAGGATAAAGAGGGCAAGGTGAAGTGGGATTAGGCGAGATAGGGTTAGGTGAAATAGGATTGGGTGAAGTGGGGGCAGACAAAACAAAATTGTGTTCTTTTGGTTCTGCTGAATCCACTTGTAAATCAACATCCATCTCTTTCCCCTGACACAAACTTTCTTTTAATGACAGGTGCTCTAAACAACTTTTTCCTTTTACACAAACCTCACATTTATCACTCACACGTGCCTTAACTGCCATCAATCCACACTCAGCCTGCCATTCTGGCTTGTCTCACAAATAGAAAAACAAATCAACGTACGAAACTTCATCCCACTTTCCCTCTGGCTTACAGAACAACATCAACTGTAAAATGGTGTTCTACTGCAAAGATCCATTTCTCGGCCACTTTTCCCCACTGTCCAGGTCATATCCTGGCCACCATGTATTACAATAATCAATCAACTTTACGTAAATCTTGCCCAAAGTTTCCCTGTTTGCAATGTGCTAATAAGCACCCCAAAGGAGAAGTAGGTGGTACAGGGGCATTGCCACCTCAAATCCCTTTAAGCTTCTCCATGTTACAGTTACAATACACCACACACCACTGCTGCCCAACCTGCAGCGCTGTTGCACTTGTCTGACAGACGGCGCCTGGGCAATACCAGGAATTCCTCCAGCCCAACCGTGCGAAGCTTTGGCTGCGTCTTATTGGCAGGCACCAGAGCAGACCGAAAAGCACCTCACCTCTCTCAGAGGGACGTTGTGAGCGGCGGCGACGGTCGCGGCCGGATGGGCTCCCCAAGAATCCCTCGGTGCCGGCTGGAGCGTGATCAGGTCGTGAGCTTGCTCAGCAGCACTCACAGGGTCACCAAAATGTTAGCGTTCAGGAACACACATAATCACAGACTGATTATATGCAGGTGCTTTATTGAAGTGTGTGGGAACTGGGGGTATCAGCAACCCAAATCTACCTCCATCGTCTTTGTCCAAAGTGCACATGTTTATAGAATTTCAGCTGTAGCAGTCATCATTGTAACAACCTTTAACAACCTTATCAATATTGCTTCATTAATAAATCTTAATTAACTTTATCTGTATTGCTTCTTGAGAGTTAGCTCATCCTTGTACAAACATGTCCGAGTCTTATCTCTGGGTGGGTATCTTGGAGACCCCAAGTACCAGTTCCCATTACGATAAACATTTCAGCTTGCTAGACCATCCCTAATTCCAAGCATTCTTGTGGCCTACCTCTACAAGATTTTAAGAAACATTTTCAGAAACATTTAACCCCTTAGTAACATCTTGATGTTTGGAGGATGTTTGTGCTGAATCTTGGTGTCCTGGAAGTTCTTCCAGACACAAGATGGCCAATGACTTCCTGAGATGAACTTGGGCAAGGAGGAATCCCCACCCCAAGACACTCTTCTCTTGTTTTTTCCCCAAACCAGGATTTTTCATTCCCAAACCAGGGAATCCCAGGCCAGATGGAGGAGGAGGAAAAGCCCCAGAGTTCCCACACAAGGAGGGTCTGCAAACCCAGCCCAGGGAGCTGCGAGGAGGAAAGATCCCCCCTGCGCCAGGAGGGTGGCAATAGATCCAGCCAGAGCTCGGAGCTGGGGGAGAAGCCTCATGGAAGGGAGAAGCCCTACAAGTGCTTGGAATGTGGGAAGGGCTTCAGAAAGAGCTCCCACCTGCTCCGGCACCAGGTCATTCACACTGGGGAAAAGCCCTACGAGTGTGGGGAATGTGGGAAGAGCTTCAACCACGGCTCCAGCCTCATGCGGCACCAAGTGATTCACACTGGGGAAAAGCCCTACAAGTGTGGGGAATGTGGGAAGAGCTTCAATGATCGCTCCAGCCTTAGGAAGCACCAGAGGAGCCACACAGGGGAACGACCCTACACCTGCTTGGATTGTGGGAAGAGCTTTGGGTGGAGTGACACCCTGAGGACACACCAGCTCGTTCACACCGGGGAGAAGCCCTACGAGTGTCCGGAGTGTGGGAAGAGGTTTCAGCACAGTTCCACTCTCATCAGACATGAGCGGATTCACACAGACGAGAGGCCCTTCCGCTGCCCCGACTGCGGGAAGAGCTTCAACCGCAACACCATCCTCA